ACTTCCCTGCTCTGCTTCCCGCCCCTTCAGGAAGAGAGCAGTCGGAGATCTGATCGCTCGCTGCGGCCGCTGCGCCAGCACCAACCACTACGTCCTCCTTTTCCTTCCACCCAGTTTTGAAGGGAGCGCCCGGCGGCCCGCGCGCCCCAGGCTGGGCAGGTCTTAGCGGGCGGCGCGGTCTCCCCTCCCCGGAGGTTCTCAGCGAATCACGTTGTTCCTGGGATTTCACGGTCGAGTGGCTCTTGCGTAACCCTACGTCCTGGCCTAAGCTAATACTTTTTAAAAATGTTAATACCAGAATTAATCCTTTAGGAAACGGCAAATACTTCCGCCCCCGAACCCGCCCCGGAGGAAATGTGTAAATTACCATGCTGACTCGATTCCCTCACCCCCACAGCCTCGGGCGTTCCTGGCAACCGGGATGGGGGCCCTTAGAGAGACCGGAGGAGCGCCCTACCCAGACGTTTGTTTTCTTCTACTCCGAGGCCGCTGAGCGGGAGGCGGCTCTAGCTCTAGCGGGCAGAAGAACCGGGTCCTACTTAGGGCAGGGCTGAGTGTTACCAAAAAAGGGCTTTCTCTTGCCCGAGCGCTTGGCAGCGCGCGCTGCAGCGGGGGTGACGCGAGGTTCAGCCCGGGCCTCCTGGAAGACCCAGCCAGCTGGCTGCAGGGATGCCAGGCCTGAGTCCCCCGCCAGATCCATCTCGGCCACAAACGGGCGGGGGCGGGAGGAGGAGAGAGATTGCAGGGAGCTCAGAAGTGCCTGGGTGCGCTGCGACCTTCTCACCCCTAATGTCGGGTTGTGGCCTCCGGAAAGGCCAAGTGGAGATCTGACCTTGTGTTCCAGTTAAGAGCAGGGTTCTCTGAGGGTGCCAGCTCAGATCCCAAGCCGGGGGTGAGGGTGGAGGGTAGGGTGGGGGGAGCAGTCACCATAGAAAAGACCTTAAGGGAGGGCTGCAGGCCTTTCCTCTTGCTCCTGGTTGAGTCTTGGCTCTGCTGGCCTCTCAGACCCCAGCGCCAGAGTAGTTAGTCCCTCTCGCTCCATCTGATGTCTTAAGTTGAGCAGCCCCTCTGGTTCTCCCACTGGCCCGTTCCTTCCCACTTCGGACACAGTATTGTCATGTGGGATTCGGGGAAAATCTATCTCCAAAACCTCGATGTTCTTCCCTCTCACAATCCCTGGCACACCCCTAAACAGGGCCATCTCAGACAAGCAATGGAGACAAAATTTATCTCTATAAATGATGCTGATTTTTTGAGTGCGGGAAGGGTATCAAGAGAGCTATGCTTTTTAAATTAAAGAGTTAGGAGACTTTAATGGAAGTTTGTTTAAATGCATGTTTATTTCTAACTTGGTAACTCGGTGTGTCTGAAGATACCGTGTGTGTGTGTGTGTGTGTGTGTGTGTGTCCTTTAGTAACAGGGAAGAGGAAGACAGACAAGGAGGTGGAGGCGTGTTTGCGCATATCAAACATAACACTATGAGAGAATCCAACTTGCTTTCTCTAGCAGCCTGGCTAGAGGGTTGGGGCTAAGTTGCTAATCCTCAGTATTTTTGGTTTAATAAAGGGATGGGCTGTACAAATATTAATGTAAAGAAATGGGGAGACCAGTCTAGCCAAAGCAAAGAGCCCTGAGTTTTGGGCTGACGGGGCTGTCACTCCATTTCCCAGCCCTATGTTTTGACTCACTCCAGGGTAGCTGTGGTGTGGGGAGGGCTGAAGTCTGGGAGGGTGAGGCAAGGTTCCTGGAGCGGCTCTTTGCAGAGGAATCACTGCCCAGAGCCAGCCAGGCCAGGGAAAGTTTATTATTGTTGGGGAGTGCACAGTGAGCTCACTGTTTTGCAAAAACAGAAATCTGGCTGCTTTGAGATGAAAGAGGGGCTCCCTAGGGCTCTTCTTCTCCCCTTTCTCCCTATCCTTAAAAACTCCTCTTCCTTCGCACCTAGGGCCCAGAATGAGTGGGAGATTGAGTGCTGGATGGGGGAATAGGCTCTAAAGTTCAAAATAAAAATAAATACTTCTTGCTTCAACTGAACTTTATTACAATTAGTAGTAATAGTAAGAATAATGTTCTTTAAAGTTTATGCAATTTACAAAGTACTTTAACCTGTTAACTAGCAATAGTACTAACATTAATATCAATACTAATAATACACAATACTTACCAACAGGTTCCTATGAACCTGACACTGTGCTCTGCATACTGTATGGTGATTTATGTTACAGTCTGTGGCAGTGGCAGATCCACAACTTCTGTATTTGGAAGAACTCAGTGGCTCAATCTGTTTGGAGGGGAGGATTGGAGGTGGCTATAAAGGTGTATTTGCATAGTACTTTACAGGAGATTGTATGTAATAAAGAATAAGGGAGGGGCTGATGGAAATTTTGAGCACCCCAAATCACCTCTGAGAACCCAAGCTTGTCAAAGTCACATCTCAAATTAGATTTACTGGATTCAGATCTCAGCTCCCTCTCTAATGGCCACGTGACCTTCAGCAAGTTATTTAACCTCTTAACTTTCTGAGCCTAGAAATCAGCGTTAATAATAGAATCTACCTGTAGATAATATTGAGGGTTTAATGATGATACAAGTAAACCACCTACCAGCGTCTGGCTCACAGCAAGCCTCAGTGGACTTACCTCCTATTGTGACAAGAAACAAAATGAAATTTCAAACAGTTTTAATATGTTGGGAGCTATTATCCCATTTTGCAGATGTGCGGTTATGTGAAGATAAGTAACTAGTTCAAGGTCACAAAGCCAGTACAGCAGGTCCTCCAATAAAGACATTGCTTTCAAGGTCATTTCTTTATAACAGTGATGTTGATAAAGAAATACTGTAGGAACCCAACTCTCATTTATAACAATTAGCCTATGGTAAACTTGGTTTTGCTTAAGGTCATAGAACTATTGATGATGTTAAGTGAGGTCTGACTGTAAGTGATGAAGAGGAAATTCCATCCTGGTCTGCCAGACTCCAGAACCTGCATTTCCTATATAGCCTCCCTTTCTCCATCCCTACCCAGGATTATCTCAGTTTTTAATGAGGGGGAAAAGGCAAAATAACAACAGTAACAACAACAAAAAACACCCCAGACCCAATATTTAAAAGAATCAGTTGAACTGCCCCAACTAGAGCAACGTATCTGTTCGGCAATAAGCAATATGAGGAGCAGTGATCTTGTAAGCAGAAAAGAAATCATGGACTTGCTTAGCCTTCTGGCACCATGGAATGAAATCACAGCACGTGAGAAATAACTTTGTAAATTGTGCTGTGCTTTACAAAGAGATATCAGTATTATTAAATGCTGCCCCACCTTCTTTTATCAAACCCGTAAAAACCACTCACCTGTTTGGCCTCTCCAGCAGCTCTCCCGCCCAGCCCCCAACTGCAGCTGTGTGCAGCCAGTTGACTGTTTTCCTTAAAGGCCTCCGGGTGCTCGTAGCTTCTTTAGACATTCAGCCAAAATTTTTAGACTGCGGCTGGGGGGAGGGGTAGCTCACCCGGAATTCATTTAGCTCCGTCGTTGAAGCTCAGGTTCCTAGACTAGTACACAAAAACAAATCGAAAAGGCAGTTTCTGGAAGAATGGAAAACAGCGAATTTTGCAGGTGTTTCAGCATTAGTTGTTAGTAATGAATGTAATAGGGGGGGGGGGGGGGGGAGGAAGGAAAGGTTTAATTGCAGATGAAATGGGTAATACTCTATATGAAATTCACAGCGAAAATTTGAAACAGGACATTTAAATTCACTGCCCGAGGTCGGGTGGGAAGCGGGATCGGAAATGCGCTTGTGGTTTTTAAATGCGTTTTTACTCGGGAAAGCCGGGCGAGGAAAGGAAAGGTCATCGTCTTGTTTAATTTCCCCCCCCCCCCCAACCCTGGACTTGCAGCATTAGCTCGCCGAGTCTCAGCTGTTGTACACACACGGCGAGGGGGGAGGGGAGGGCGGAGGCGCGGAGGAGGGGCCGACAGGGAGGAATCTGGGCGTCCTGCCGCGCATGCGCCTTTCCCGAGCAACAAGTGGGCTCCACAGACAGAGGAAGTGTAAAGGGGGGGGGGGGGGAAAGAACTGGTGAAGAGCA